TTTGATTCTGAAAAAATATTTTAATTCAGCAGAAAAATGTCTGTAGATCGTAAGAAACATAAATATTAATATTAATTTTGATTATGATTCAAAAAAGTTGATAATTTCAAGTTTTCAATTACAGTTCACAATAATATAAAATTTAGATTTTACAAAGTGCTTCGTAGGATCTATAGGCAATTGTCTGGCAAATTCAAATTTTTTTCAGAATCAAAATCGGACAACGTTAACTAACTTTAATTTATTCAATACTTTAGGTCTTTTCAGCTAAAATTGACGGCAGTATCGAGGCCCCTTAATGCAGGTTGCTTAATCATTAGGCAGTATTTATTAAAAAGAATATTTTTTTTAAAACAAAATTACAATATTTTTATAATATATTAAGTCGTCTTCCTTTAAGAAGAGCCCAATGTTTCACCATGAGATGAATATAAATTTCATCAGTTAAATGTTTGTTATAATTTAATAAGCGACCTACTCACTTAGTAGAACGTAAACAGTTCTTCACAATCTTCAATTTACTGAAGGTGTGCTCGCTTCATAGGCGTGCGCAGACTTAAATTTCTGGTCGAGCCTAGACAATTATAGTGCCCTAATATTTGGACTGCGCCCCTAATTTTTTTTTAACACACCAACATACATGTTGATAATATATTAACCTATTAATGTCTATAGTACTATAGTTATTGTATTTGTACCTATAAAGGTATAATGTTTTTTTTTAGATTAATAAAATGTATGAATTGGTTAGGTTAGGTAGGTACACACAAATATTTTTGATTTTTTTATACTTTCACGACAAACAAAATTTTCATGATCTCCACGAACATATTATTATAATATAAGCATTATAATTTATAATAAAATATTTAAATATATACGCACATTTTACTATGCCCCTAAAAAGTTTCAGGTCGAGCCTGGGCTTGACCGGCTCGCCCCGTGCGCACGCCTATGGCTCGCTTGATGTAGTACTAACCGGTGTTGTAAAAATCAATCTGTATATTTTATTGCCAATAGGCAAAATATGTTTTAATTCTTTGGATACTTTAAATATTTCAGTTAATTTTGAAAAGGTTTTTATTGATACAGTGATGGTGTAAAATATTAATTTCAGTTATAACTCCATCATAATCACAAATATTAGATTCATTACATCCAGGAGGGAATATTTTCATAGCTTTCTTCAAATCATCTATTGTTTTCAACAATTGTTTTCCCATGGAACCTTAAAAATGTTTTCAAGTGGTTCTATGATCAACATACAATTTTTTTAATGTTTAGAAGACAAATTTATTAATGTATCGAATACTTTTTTGAATTCTATTCTGTAAAAAGCTTTTATAATGATTGTCCACTGTGTACAAGCATTCGAGTATATCTTTTTGGGCTTCAATCTTCTTCGATGATGTCGAATAAATCTTTTTCTGGGTTAATAATTAATTTTTTAGCAAAAATTATTGCACTTTCTATTAAATTATCCACTGCCATATTATTATCACTTATTCTGGTTAAACTGTCATATAGTATATTATGTTAGTAACATTAAAGCATCAATTATATTTAATTCTGTAGCTTCTAGGTTTTCTGTGAAGATTTTTGTTTTATACATGACATTTTTATAAGTGATAAGCAACTTACAAGTCAAAGCTGAGAATTTTTTTAGAGAGACCTACTGCAAGAGTACATGTTTTTTTATCCATAGATTTTAAGTCTGACATATCTTGTAATGCATCAATAATTTGTTCATATGATATCCTAAACAGCATTAATTGATTCAGCCCTTGCAGTCCAAAGTTTTTGATAGCTTCACTTGATTGTTCAACAACTATATTCAATCGATGTGCTTGGCATGGAATGAATGGAATTTTGTGACCAACAATATCTGATAATTTTTGCTGAGTACCATTTATCTTACATGACATGCTACTGGCAAAATCATATGATTGAAATGCCATATTATATTTATATTTACATCATATAAATATTTTTTGTTACCTATTTGTAGTTCTTAAATATTATTTACTATTATATTAGGTCATAATATTTATAATAAATTATATTTGAATTTTGAAATAATCATAAATTATAATAAAATCATAATTGCCAATTTGCCAATCTCTATATCAAAATGACAAATTTGCCGCCTAAAATGAACCAGATGTCGTAAGTGGGGGGGTGTGACATAATGTGCCCAAACAATAGAATATATTTATACCCCCCTTAATCATTGGCGCAAATCGCAGGGTTACTAAGGGTGTTTAGCACCCTGAATTTTAATGCTAACACTCCGAATCGCATGATTATAACTTATAGTACTACCACCATAATATTTCCATTATAACTACATTTACTAAAAATTCAAAAACAATTTTAAAAAAACGGTGCTTATGTCCCTCTGATATTTTTGGGTGATTTGTGCCTAAGCACTAATTAATCTTTCAGGAAGGGAAAGTACTCAAATGACAAACAGTCAGACTGATCGAAGTAAATGTTTTTTTTTTTATTAAATTAATATTTACAATCTGTACACATAAAATAATACAATAAGTAAATTATGAAAGCTTAAACGAAAAGAACATGAAGGCTTGAGAGAAGGGCCGTTGACACCACTTCAAAAAGTCATTATACTCAACAGAATGTTAATTTAGTTTAGTAGATCTCTGGGCCAACGTCGTTTTAATCGACGTAGTGGATTTATAGGGTTAGTTAAAGAGCGGAGATTGGAGATAAGTGGATTTTGATGGTTGATTATGGCTGTGTGTAGTTTTTTGTAGGATTGAGAGGCTAATTCAGGAAGAGTTAGGATTTTCAGGTCATTATGGAGGGACTGATTGCTGACGAACCGAGGAGCACCTGTGATGACGCGTAAGCTTATAGACTGGAAGGATTGGAGTATGTTAATATTTGACTTTTTAGCTGCTCCCCAAATTTGGATGCCGTAAGTCATGGCTTGTATTATCACTTGTTTATATATTAGAATTTTGGTTCTAAGTGGAATTTTGGAGCGTAATAGATTTCTAAGAGAATGAAGACGTACATTTAGAGATTTTATATGGTTTGACCAATTTAGTTTTTTGTCAAGGTGCCTATTTAACATTGTCTTGTTGAGGGATTATGTTGTTGTTGATGGATAGGGGATGACTGTTAATAGAGAGTAGAGTGAAGGTTATGTGGCTAGATTTGGATTCAGTCAATGTTATAAAATATTAATATAATAATATAATAATACTTGTTACCACGGACTAAGATATACAGGACTGGACACGAGATGAATATTGTGGTTACGAAATGTTTTACAACAGGCGGAGTTCGGGGGGATATTTTCCTTTTAGCATTACTAGCGCCGTCTTAGTCATAGACCTATTAACTTAGTTAATAGGTCTATGGTCTTAGTGGAACTAGAAATTTGTATGATGTGTTCTAGTTCCATAAGTATCCACTAGGACGGCGCTAGTAATGCTAAAAGGAAAATATCCCCCCGAACACTGCCTGTTGTAAAACATTTCGTAGTCAACCCCCCCACACCCTCCAACACGACTTGTCGTGTCCAGTCCTGTATATCTTAGTCCGTGCTTGTTACCATGCAATTGCGCAGGATTTCATAATGGTGGGGGTTTGAAAAAAAATATTATTTAAAATAGATAGATCAATAATTAGCTAATATTCAGTGGCGGCTCGTCAGGGGAGTCTTTGAGACGGCGACTCCCCATAAAAATAAAAAGTAGTAACGCAATAAAAAAGTTTGAAGAAAATTGTATTATAATTTAATATTTTTATGTTATATCCATTCTGAAAATAATTATCATGGTTTTCGATATTAATATTGATAATATTTTGTATTCTATTTTTACATTAATAATGAGTGTCATTCAATAACAATACAATATAAAAATATATCGATAACAATACAGGCTAAATATATCGATAACGACGACGACGGCGACAACGACGACGGTCGTTAGTTCGAGAGTCTGCCGTCCGAAAGACTCAATTATGCAATATAATCAAATTGCATATGCTGATATGCATGACAAGGCGGAGGACGGGGATAGATTGTATAGATGTTATTCAGTACATTGAGACTAGACTCATTCAAAGTTTTGGCCGTTCGCATTGCGGTCGTCACGTATTTTTCTGTAAACACGAAAACTGCAGCGTGTCGTGCGTCCGTATTAGACTATTAAATTTAGCTATTTGACATTGTATAGCAGCGTGTACCTAATAATTAAATTATTATAATTATTTAATAATTATCTATTCTAATAATTTTTATAAAGCTATCAATTATAATAATAAAAAAAGGTTTTTTTTATCTTTTTTGGGTTCATTTTTTTTTTATTATTAAATTTTCAGTCTCCCCAATGAATTTACTTGCGAGCCGCCACTGCTAATATTATACAATAATAGTGATGCGGTATTATGTTAAGCATTATTAATTATTAAAAATAAGATTATAAATTATTTTATAATATAATCAATCAAAAATTGAAACCAGGATTTATTTTATATTTTTTTGGTTAACCCTCCCCCCCCCCAATTAGCGCACTGTCCTGGTTGTTACAATAGGTAAGTCATGATGAAAATATTAATAATAATTGGTTGTCTTAAATATTATTATATCTTACTTTCATGTCTAATATAAAATAATTAAATAAATAAATATAAACGTCTAAATGTATAATCAATATTATGTACATGGCTATGTAGGAGTTGTAGGAAACGCGCAAAAATCACAGAACTATGTGCTAAAATCATGAGTCCTTGGAACTAATTTGGCAATACCATGCAATAGTGTTATCGTAGTATACCGCAGTAAATAAGAAGGTTACCAGCCAGTTACCACGTATCTATCACGATACCAATATACCATATGTATTCGGTGATAATAGATCGAAATATCAAATAGTAAGGTCAGCCCTAGTTTCGACCTTTTTTTTTTCGTCAACTGTGGCGGATTAACATTTTTTATTTAATACCTAGTAGGCTAACAGTTCATCATGTTCCGTAATATTTCTACTGCGGTGAAAGGATGTACCGAAGTCGTGGCGACCACAACCACCAAGGCGCCGTGCCCAGGTAAACCATCTAAACAAACTGTGCCGCCTAGGCAAATCTACCTGACCAACTTCACCTTGCAAAGTAATCTGCTATCCAAGAAAGCATTAACTCCAGTTACCGCGACCCAAATTCGTTTGGTCCACACCGATTTCAAGATCCCAGATTACACCGATTACCGTCGTAACTCCGTGAAGGACCCGAACGCTTCTAACCGCGACACATACGAAAGTCGAAATGCTTTTACATACATGGTTCTGGGTACTGCCGTCACTGGCACAATGTTCTGCGCTAAGGCAATCGTTCACAAGTTTGTCTTGTCAATGGCACCGGCCGCTGATGTCTTGGCCATGGCATCCATAGAAGTTAACCTTAGTGATATACCGGAGGGCAAGAATGCAACCATCAAGTGGAGAGGAAAGCCCTTGTTCGTTAGACATCGTACAACAGCAGAAATCGAAACGGAACAAAATACCTCTCTGGCTGAACTCAGAGACCCGGAGGACGACTCTGTCAGGGTTCAAAAGCCCGAATGGTTGGTAATCGTTGGAGTATGCACTCATTTAGGTTGTGTACCAATTGCCAATGCAGGAGATTGGGGTGGTTATTACTGCCCATGTCACGGTTCACATTATGATGCAGCTGGAAGGATTCGTAAAGGACCTGCACCAACGAACATGGAAGTACCACCTTATAAATTCATTAACGATAATACACTTCTTGTAGGTTAATGTGTAATTTGAAGTGTAACTATTCAAGTTTTTGTCTTTAGATGTACATGTACGTTGTTAAAATTTTTTAAATATATGTAATCCTGCTATCTGAAATTTACTTTGTTTTTAAACTCTAAAAGTATGATATCTTAAATTAATGTTCAATAATATGTCATTTGTTTATGATAAACATATTTTCATGTAATTTCAAACATCTAGCTAAATAGTAAATATTACTTCCAATAAAATACTGTATTATTTATCCACAAACTGAAATATAAATAAAAAAAAATTATAAACACCAAATTTGTAAATGTTTGTCCTAAAAACATAATTGCACGATAAAAAACCTGTGTAGTTACTCTGCTTTATAGAACGACTTGAGTGTACATTGTTATTGAGGACTTAAATTGTAGGTTACTGTCATTGATATGTTAAATTGGAATTCAATGATCAATCATTGCATACAAAAAACAATTCAGAACCGAAGCGGTCTATTATACTACTATAAGTAAATTTGTTGATATTTTTATTGCTTTATAGTAGGTACCTAATTTAGGTACCTACTCGTGCAGTATGCTACAGGAAAATATGACATACCTACTCTTCTGTGTTATATTCTTATTTAATTTTATTATGGGAAGGTAACTGCTGCTTGAGTTATTAAGATAAACAACATATTATTGTCCGTCAATCATACAATTCTAAATATCAATAAATGAAACTGGCAACTATCTGGTAAGCTACTGGTAAGTATCCACCAAGTCCCATGATAACTTACTTTTAGATATTAAATTATTTTAGTTTATGTTGTGTCCTTCCACCTCGTCGTGTTACCCAACAGATGTGTTAGACTGCCAACCAAAAGGGAATGGTGGCAGTCAATAATTTAAACACAACCCGACATTCGTCATTATATTAAAAGTTTTCTAGGATAACGTAAAGTGTAAACACAGCATAACCATATATTATAATTTATAACGCTTTAAGATACTTAGCATTGCTGATCATCAATATACCTATTTAAAGTAGATTTTAGTTAAATAAATTGTTATTAATCAGTGTGTAAAAATGGTAAACACACGTAAACAATTTTAATAGGTAAGTTGTAGGTAGGCAGGTAGCATACTACAGAATACACTAATTTATTTTAACTGATACAATAAGTTAATTAATTTTTGCCAAAAATATTTAATTATTATACCTACCTAATGATAATATGATATATATTTATATCTTATATTATTGATTATTTAACTTTTGAGTCAATACCAATTTAGTGTGAATAGGTTTGTGGTATAAATAGGCAATAGCTTAAACTAATTGAATTATTTTGAAAATGTCGTTGTGACATTGTATAGGTCATAGGTAATATATAAAATTCATTACTGGGGGACGGAGTGGCCGAGCGGTCTAAGGCGTAGGCTGCGACGCTGGCTCGATACCTCGGTCATGGGTGGTATTTTTCTTCGGGCGAGTCACGGTGTCCGGAGAACATGTGTGGTCATCCCCCACCAGGGCATGGCAGATACCTAAGGGTGCCCAAACAAAACACACGTGTTCCTCCCCTACTGACATAAAAACCTACAAAACCAAAACAGCTAATGGTCATAATTGCCGGGCTTTGAGATCAAATAAAAAAAAGGTGGGTAAGTGGATGTCGCTCTGCTGTACTGTAGGTTACAAGTGGGACATGGTATAATGGATGGTATTAAATTTGAATTCAATGATATAATATCATTGTATAAGAAAAACGATTCTGAGTGGAGACGGTATGTCAATCTAGGTATAAGACATATACTTATCGATGGTAAAAAAAAAAAATTGACCTATAATAGATACCTATAATAAATTCCAAATTAATCATATATCCCCGAATACTATTTTTAAATTACAACGAAAAACCAAGATCGTTAATATTGATGATATATATGTAATTTCGTCCAAATTTGGATTTAAAATGTCTGTAAAAATTAACTGTGTTCATATATTTTTTAGATTTTTTGGTTACAGTATGTACTATTTATGAGAACCTTTGTGTTTAATTTGCAATCCTTAGCTATAAAAACTGAACATTTTATAATTTATTAATTACAATGATTGATAATTTTCGAGATTTTGATAAATTTTGTCAAAATTCGATCTTTAAATGCTTATAAAAAAAAAACTGTGCCTATGTATTTTTAATATTTTTCAAATGATATTGTAACAATATATCAGGAGCCTTGTATTAAATTTTTACACTTTTTGGCCCAACAGATAAAACTTTATTGATATTTATAGAAAAAAAAACTAAAAAAAATTGAAAGCTGTCAGGGCCGGTTGCATAAAGACCAGTCTGTAAATGTTTTCACGGACCTGTAACTTAATCACACGTTAACTCGTTAACGGCTTGTAAAAAAAAAAATGAGTTTCATAAAAGATTATTATTATTTTGTATTTTATTGATAACCATAACTACCAAATAAATTATACCACATTTAATTTGATTACAATGATTGCTGATTATATTATTAATACCACGGACTATTATAATAGTCCGTGATTAATACTAATAAAAAAAAATGTGGCTGATAAGAAATTTTAATATTTCTTATCACCATATTTAACGGATCGTTAAAAGTTAACGAACCAAAATCGGACCTGTAGTTTACAGGTCCAATAGCCGATAATTTACAGACCCGTTAACGTTAACAGTCGTTCAAGCAACACCCAATTTTTTTTAACGGATCGTTAGTGCGTTAACGGCTCTGTAAATCGCTAATGAACGTTTATGCAACCCACCCTTAAATGTCCATAAACAGCTCAAAAAGAGTCAAAATATCAAAATAAAATTGTATGGTGTATAGGAAATGCTAATATAAACATTCAGTGAAATTTTCATGTATCTACAGTTATTCGTTTTTGAATTACAACAAAATAAGGAAATCGCTACATGAGAAATCGAGTGAATATTCAATGTTGTAAAAATTTGAATTTCAAACGCTCATAAAAATTTAATTTGACTTTCTTATAGACATTTTTCTTTTGATAAAGGTAGATAATCTTATAAGGAATCTTGTGTTTCATTTTCAAATCTTAGATTTAAAAAGAAAAATTTTTACGAATTCTTAACTCAAAATAATTTGCTAATTTTCGTGATTTTTCCATATTTTGTCAATTTTTGAACTTTAAATGCTTATAAAAAAAAATTGTGACTAAGGATTTTTAATATTTTTCATCTTCCTTTGAAACGACATACTGGGAGCCTTCTATTAAATTTTCAAGCTTTCGCAACCAACAAATAAAATTTTATTGATATTTTTAGAAAAAAAACTTAAAAATAATGGAAAATTAAAATGTCCTTAAACAGTTTAAAATAAATCAAAATATTTTGAAAATGTTATCGTGTATAGAAAATGCAAATATAAACAACCAGTGAAAATTTCATGTATATACGTTCATTTGTTTTAGAGTTACACCAAAAACCAAAATCGATTTTTTGGAAAACAGATTTTGCGTAAAAATTCCCGTTTTTCCTTAATTTTTCTTTTGTTTTTCACGGCGCTTTTGAAAACTATTGGGAAATTTTTACTTTTGACCCCCCAAAGTACCAACTAGATTCACTTTCCTATCAGAAAAGCTACTGTTGAAGAAAATCCAAGCACTTTTACTGTCCTAAAACGTGATGACAGACACAAAAAAAAATTTAAAAAAAATTAAAAATTAAAAAAAAATAAAAAATAAAAAAAAAACACATCATTGTAAAATCAATACATTCATCGTTTCACTCAGAATCTAAAAAAAAAAACTATACATAAAAGATTAAAGTCCCATGAACAATAATTTTGAATTACAATGAAAGAACTAAAATTCTTCTTCATTTAAATCATTAATTTTGTCCTAATTTAATCTTAAAATGTCTATCAAAAAATTGAATTTTAATATTTTTTTAGATTTTTTTTTTCAGTATGAGCTACTATTATGAAGAACTTACCAATGTACAATTTTCAAGTTTTAGCTATAAAAGTTTTATAAATTTTAAAACTTTAAATGTTTAACAACAAAATTGTGTATGTGTATCTTTAATATTTTTGAATGGATTATAAAAATTACTAATAAGGAACCTTGTATAAAAATAAAATGTTTAAGCTTTTTGACCACGAACATTTTTTCACTCATATTTATTAAATTGTAGAAAAACTAAGACTGAAATCAAAATGTCAATAAATAAATCAAGATGAGTCAAAAGATTTTTAAAATTATTCTAAGTATAACTGTATAAGTAATGCTAATATTATAATCATTATTCATTTAGTATTAAGTATTATAATATATATAGATAAAAAATATCCACAATTAATTTTGAATTTCAACAAAATAATCGATTATAATTTTGAATTTCAACAAAATAATCGATTATGCCAAAAACTGTTTTTTTCCAAATAACCAACTAATAAAAGTTTTTTACATTTTTTACTATTGTCAATTGACCCCCAAAGGCCAAAAGTAATATCAAGATGCAATGAATTGCAAGAAACCAACATCAAAATATTAAAACAATATTTAATGATTTTTTCTTCTGTTAAAAGTATCTCCAGACAAAAAAAATAACGCCTGTCATATTCTATGCGTTTCACCGGCCACTGTCATCTGCTAGCTATACTGCCTATACTATAGCTATAGCAGCTACATAGAATGTGGTCTACGGTCTACCTACAGCCGGGCGGTATTTACACGGACTTATGATCTTTCAATCTTCAATCACTATGTTTATGACAATGACATTATACTTTATGATTTTTGGTTGCTTCTACAGTTAGTAAATTTATGGTCGTATGGACTCAGCACTCGGCCGCCTGACGCTCAGTACGTCACTTATTGAGCGACACTACAATTTATTCAACATATTATTTTGGCCCTCAATATGGAGGAAAATAATTTTATTTAATCATAAGTAGTGAAGAATCAACCACCTATTTTTTAATTAATAAAAACGTTTTGAGGAATAATGAAAATGCCCAATGTAATATACCACC